TTGAATGGATTGACCATAGCTGAATAATTCACTGCATGTCAGTTTGTTTCTTCATTTACAAAAGTGGCTGGTAATTCTGTTGTACAGAGCTAGAGGTGAATTTGAATCAGGGATCTTTTATGAGGCTTAAGGTTGCACAACAATTCTGTATTTCTATATGTCAGGCAGAGTCTCTGACATCAGACAGTCAGACACAGCCTTCTAGAATTTACATTTTAGTAGGAAAGGCAGATTTTTTTAAAACAGTTTATTTATTTATTTATTATTTATTATGCATACAGTCTTCTGCCTGCATGCCAGCAGAGGGCACCAGATCTCATTCAAGGTGGCTGTGAGCTACCATGTGGTTGCCGGGAATTGAACTCAGGACCTCTGGAAGAGCAGTCAGTGTTCTTAACTGCTGAGCCATCTCTCCAGCCCCTGGAAAGGCAGAGTTTTAAAAATATATATGTTATTATTATCATTTTGTTTTGTGTTTTGAGACAGGGTCTTACTGTGTATGTAGTCCTGGCTGTCCTGGAACTTACTCTGTGGATCAGGCTGGCCTCGAACTCGCAGAGATCCACTGACCTCTGCCTCTGAGTGCTGGGATTAGAGGTGTGCACCACCACAAAGGGCTATTTAATTTTTTAATGTGTATGATGGGTATTTTACTTGAATGTGTGCCTACTTACCTTGTGTGAATATGGTGCCTAAGGAGGCTGAAAGAGGGCGACCAATCCCATGGGACTTGAAATAGATGTTTGTGAGCAATGATGTAGGTGGTAGAAATCAAACTGGCATCCATTGGAAGAGCAGTCAGTGCTCTTAACTAAGCCATCTCTCCAGCTCCATGATTTAGTTTATTTTTAATCATCTCTCTGTGTGTGTGCAAGATGGGATTCTTGGAACTGGAGTTACAGGTGGCTGTGAGCTGCCTGCTGTGGCAGCAGGGAGACCACCAGGGTCCTATATGTCTCATAAAGGAGCTTTCACTCTATCCTAAGAGTGAAGAAAGCATGCACAATTACAACCACAGGCTGAGGGTTTGGAGAGATGACACAGAGGTTAAGAGCACTGGCTGCTCTTCCAGAGGTTCTGAGTTCAATTCCCAGCAACCACATGGTGGCTCACAACATCTATAATGGGATTGGATGCCATCTTCTGGTGTGCAGACATGCATACATGCAGACATACATACATCCTTATAATTACAGGCTGTGTGCAAGTTTCAATTCTGGAAGGGCCCCTCTGGGCTGGGAAGATGGCTCAGATGTTAAAGTCTCTAGATTGGCTGGTCAGTGAGCTTCAGGAATCTACCTTACCCCCAGCGCGGGCATCACAGACACATGCTGCTCTGCCTGGCTTTTATACTATGCTGGGGATCCAAACTCAAGTCCTTATACTTAGGAGAGACCCACATCAACCTCTGGCTCTATGCCATTACACACTTACATGCACAAACATACAAGAGCACCTGATTGCATAGGTGCATATACCAAGCACACAACACAGTGGTTCCTTAAACTTCCCCTAAAAACTCCTTCAGATACTAAAATTGCTAAAGTCTGCTAGCTGCTTCTTCCGTATGCCCTGTGAACTTCAACATCTCCCACAGGAACAATTGCTTGGGTTCCTGCCTGGTCTCTCTACCTTCAGTCACACCCCCATGAAAACTTTGTCTTCTTTGGTCCTCACAACATCCTGGCCAAGTTAGAAAAGTTACAATGCTTGCTTTCTTTTTTCATCTGCAGAGCAGAAGTGAGGTCTAGTGGTGGTAGAGGGCATACTTGTGGTAGCTCCAGAAATTCAATTGTTCAAATTTCTGGATGTTTTTTTTGAGACAGGTTTCTCTGTGTTAACAGCTTTAACTGTCCTCCCTCTATGGCCCAGGCTGGCCTTGAACTCAGAGATCTGCCTGCCTCTGCCTCCAGAGTGCTAGGATTAAAGGCATGCACCGCTACCTCTCTGCCCAGCAGTTTCTGGAATTTTGTAAGACAGTTGTTAGACATAATAACTTTTTGGCCTTCTGACTAAGATCAAGTGTTGTTAAACATAGTTGCTGGGCTGGAGAGTTGGCGCAGTGGAAGTGCTGTTTGCAGCCGGGTGGTGCAGGCCTTTAGTCCCATTACTGGGGAGGCAGAGGCAGGCGGATCTCTGTGAGTTCGAGGCCAGCCTGGTCTACAGAGTGAGTGCCAGGATAGGCTCCAAAGCTACACAGAAACCCTGTCCCGAAAAACAAACAAACAAAAAAAGAGTGCTGTTTTCGGGGCTGGAGAAATGGCATAGCAGTTAGGAACACTGTCTCCAAGATCTGACACCCTCACACAGACATACATGTAGGCAAAACACCAATGCAAGTAAAGTATAAATAAATAAAATATTTAAAAAAGAGTGCTGTTTGCTCTTCCCAAGGATCTGTGTTCAATTCCTAGCAACAACACTGTAGCTCACAACTATCTGTAACTCTAGTCCCAGAAGATCTGACACCCTTTTCTGGATTCTGAGGGCACCAGGCAGGCATGTGATACACAGACAAAACATGCAAGAAAAAGCATCCATATACATTTAAAAAACAAAATCAGAAACATAGTTACTATTCAAAATTAAATTGTATAAACTTATAGGGCTGGAGGTATAACTTAATGATAGAGGGTTTACCTGGCATGGACAAGGTCCTGGGTTCAACCCATGTATATATGTGTGTGTATAAGCTTATGCTTATGTTTACATATCAAAATATGAATATATATATATATATATATATATATATATTTGGGTGGGAGGGGCACACATCTTTTTTTTTTTTTTTTTTTTTTTTTTTGGGAAGGGGTTTTTTTTTTGGTGGGTAGGGTTTCTCTGTAGGTTTGGAGACTGTGCTGGAACTCTCTTTGAAGACCAGGATAACCTCGAACTCACAGAGATCCACCTGCCTCTGCCTCCCCAGTGCTGGGACTAAAGGTGTGCACCACCAATGCCCGGCTGTGATGCACATCTTTAATTCCAGCACTCAGGGGGCAGAGGCAGGCAGTACTCTGAGTTCAAGGCCAGCCTGGTCTATTGAGGGAAGACAGCTAAAGCTGTTAACACAGAGAAACCCTGTCTAAAAAATAAAAAAACCAAAACAAAATAAAACAAAAAAACTAGTCACCTTGACTTAAAAAGTGATGGAGGAGCTGTGTGGTGGTGGTACATTCCTTTAATCCCAGCACCCAGGAGCCGGAGATAGGCGGATCTCTGTGAGTTCTAGGCCAGTCTGGTCTACAGTGTGAATTCCCAGACAGCCAGGGCTGTTACACAGAGAAACCTTGTCTCAGAAACCCCCTCCCCCACAAAAAAAGTGATGGAGGAAGGTGGAACGATAACAGTTAACAGCACGTTCTGCTCTTGCATAGGACTGGAATTCAGTTCCCAGAAAAAATTACAGCTCTAGGGGATTTGATGCTCTGTTTCAGGCATTTATGCGCGCGCGCGCACACACACACACACACACACACACACACACACACACACACACACACCACACTTTTTTTTTTTTTAAAGTGGTGGAGAATATGAGAGTAGTTCTGATTTATACCTCCTAAACATCTGTAGGTGTTACATTGGGAAATAAAAGTCATTGAAACCAGTTCTGATTCAGCAAAGTTGTCACCACTATTGACAATTTGATCAAGTTTGTCTTCGGTTTTTCGCTGTCCTTTTGCATCAATAGAGGAAAATTATACTCCTTGGTCACGTGTAACCAGTTTGGGAAGGCTGGGAACGAGGTCTAGTGGCTGGATTGATTCTTAGTATGTGCCCCATCTAGGATTCATTCTATCCTCAACGTGACACACACACTATGACAAAAACCAGTGGAAGCATGCATTTGGCAATCAGTCACACAGAACTGGCTACCGTATACTTTTATTATTCCTTGGAAATCTACACATCCTTTATTTGAGTCAAATTCATGACAAAATTAACTATATACACACCCTTCCTTCCCCGCAAAGAATCAGCTGTTTAACATGGAACAAGCACACCGCCGGATCTAGAACACATTTTCATGTAGTCCTTCCCTAACTCGTCAGATGGTAGCAAAGAGGATTTAAAGAAATGACTTGGCCAAGGCCACACCCCCCAAGCAGCACAGATGGGACAATACCCACAAACAGTGCCAGAGGCTGCGTCCCTCTCCCAGGTCCAGACTCGGCTCCCAAGGCCTGCCCCGCTCCACAGGGAAGGGGTGAGAGGGCCTGAGCGCCCAGGAAGTGAAAAGGCAGGGGTCGGTGCCGGAGACCAAGCAGGCCACAGCACCAGCTGACGGCCAATAGCAACCAGGGCGGAGGAGAACGTCAAGCTCGGCAGAAGCCGACGCTGCGCACCCTGGGGAAGGGGGCGGGACCTTGCCAGGAAGTGACGTCGGGGGGCGTTGCTCGGCGGCGGCGGCGCGCGGCCTGGGCTCGCGCTGGGCACCGCGGCCCCCCCGCCCCCTCTAT